AAAAAAATTCGTAAAAAATTTGAGGTGAAGGATATTGCGACCAAAATTTGAGTACGGAGGTACATTGTGACGAGGAATCTTCCAGTGTTTGCCTAAAAAATCCATTCCGGCTGCTTTCTCCAGAATCGCAAAAATCTGGGGTGACCTTATAATTGTGAAACGCGCTGTACTATGTGGGCAGTCGAAGCCATTAATGAAGCAAACAACGCTCAGTATCTTAAAACTTTTTTGGCATTCAGAAGGCCATTTTGCGGAAATGGACCATAGTTCTATACTCAGTGCTCATACTTCTATACCATACAAAAAACCATTTTCAAAAAGCGACCCACGCCCTGAAAGACCTGTCTTGTGTGGCCCTTAAGATGAAATCTTTGACCGGCACCTGCTTTGAACAACCCATTCTTCCATTTCTACGAGATGAGTTGGATCAATCGACAGCGATGGGCATCGAATTTGTTTGGAAGGAAGAAAACTCAGTGTGTACATCGACTGTCTTTGCAAGTCTTGTATAAATCTACTATGCTCTCAAACGCCACTGTGATTCTGAGTAGGGGTGAAGTATGAGGCCGAACCTTAAGGTGGAAATAATTGACACCGAAGTACTTTGTTCTTAAAGGATACTAAGTTGAATCAAGATCTGATTACAAGCTATACTCCGAGTGGATTGCTTTTCGGTTAACAATGTTATTTACGAAGAAAAACGAAGACGAAAACATAGCAATTTTAGAAACTCGGTGCAAACTTCGATTAATACTCGTCACAACTCGTCCACTTGAAGACTCTCAAAAACAGTAAGAGTTACGAGTTGAAGTGCCATTCATGGATGGACGAATATTTATCGGAGCAGATATTACTTACTAAGCAGACTGCACTATGTAGATATCTAGTAATATATTTCGAGGCGGTAAACGTCCTCACTTTTCTAGGGGTTCCTCCGATGGCAAGTTTGCTGAAACCGCATCGAGCTTTTCGCATCCCTTTCACTGGGCTACTTGGTGGTTCCTCAGCTTTTTCCAACAAGATTTGTCCACCAATCTCTCAGGTACGTCGTAGTTTCAGAAGTATCTAAAGTGATAAAACTTAAATAAGAACTGTTAAGCAGGTCATTATCATTTTGGATGAAAATGTAGTCAGGGGAGGAAATTGGATATCTTATCTTAATTAACTATTCAGTTTTTTTTTCAAATAATAACAGAGTATTTTTGATCGCGGCATTTTTCAAGCCACATTGTAGCTGATCATTGCAAACAGTAGTGTCATGAAGGAGATTTAAACTTAAGAAGACTGAATGAAAAACTTGTCCGATCTCAACCAGGTACTCGGATCTCATTCTACCGCTGGTCTACTATTGCGCTGATGCATAATTATTGCGGATTTTTTTCAGCAAATTTCACTTGAAGAGATGACAGAAATATTTAGCAAAGATATGTTCAAATAATTCCTCCGGAACATGTCCACCATCTACGCCAAGCATTGCTTCTCATTAACCAGGCAGTCGAATTCCATACGCGAAAAAGTTTTGATTTTTGGAGGCGATCCACGCCTTGACGTGGGCCATCAAGCCATCCATTTCGTCGGAGCTTCTGTTCGTAAGCCAAATTTTCACTGGACGATTGCGTGATTATCCATAGGAATTCCTGTTGGTGAATAGGGCGACCGTAAAAGCAGATTCCATTCCTTATTCGGCATTCGCTGACTGTCCCATCGCCGAGAAGTTCGATAAGGTCACTTTATGACTGCAACTCATTCTAACCTTTTCAGAAGTAATAGGACATAATGTGGCGTTTATTAAGATAACTTTCTAGAACGTAT